TGTCACGGGGCCCGGCCCCGCCTGGCGGGTCCACACGGACCCGAGCCCCGCCGGGGCTTGGTGCTGCAGCTTGCTGATCGTTGGTCACTTGTTCTTCAGCCGATGTGAGATTCCCGGTAGCCTTAGTGAGTTCAGGGCTCTTCTGGCCAGACCAGGATCTGTAACTGGAGACACTGGAGCTAAAATCTGCTACCAGCACTACAGGTGGAGGCTGGAGCCATGAGTTGGCACCAGGGTGGAGAGCTGGTGGGTGTGGCAGAGCGCGGCAGAGGTTTGGTCTGGCCAGAAAGGATGGGGCCACACCAACTGGGGGAGGCAATATCGGCCTCCAAGCCTCCTCTGGCCCTAACAAACAGCTTTGTGCTTCCCCTTGTGCCACCACCTCCTTTCCAGACACGGCTCCTGTACCAGCCCTGTGTAAGTGGCTGCCGCTTTCTCTTTGCTCCTTTAAGGAAAACTGAATTTCCACCAGCCCCAGGTCTTCCAGAAGATAGCCACTGACCTGCACCCCCACCTTTCCACGATGACGCCCGTCGAGGTGACGCGCTGCATCAGATCCTTCGCCCTCGTCAAGTGGCTCAGCCTGCCGCTGTTTGAGGCCATTGCACAGGTGAGGAGGGCACTTGGGAGGGCAGGAGTGCCCCCACTGGCACCAGTATGCCTGTGATCCACCCCAGTTCCCCCCAGATGGGAGCAGTTTCCCCCCGCACCTCTCCAGGGATGCTCTCTAGGATATTGTCACTGTTTTCCCTGCCCGGCCGGCAGCTGTAATCGGGTCTGACAGGACTCGCTATTCATCTTCCGCTAAAGTCAGCACTGGGAATCCGTGCTGAGCTAGGGCCGGTCTCAGCTCCGCCTGAGCCTCCGGTCCCGAGTGCCAGCGCTGCTTCTCTCCCCAGGCACCTTCCCAGCTCTGCCCCAGTTTATGCGCCTGCTCTTTTGTGTCTGTACCAGAATATTACAGAGCTCTGCTTCCACTCGCAGCTTTCCCTTGTGCCAAGATAAAATCCCAGGGACGCAGTAAAAGCTCTTGCGCTCATGTTTTCCCATCTTGCCATGGGGCTGGATGTGTCCTGGGTTGACGCTTTCAATCTTTTCCCGTCTGTACTCATGTAGGACAGCCCTAAATCTCTGTTTTGCCCCATCTGCCCCCCAGTACGCCCTGGACAACACCAAGCAGCTGTCGGTCACCCATCTGTGCAGCATCATCTTGTCTTTTGCTCGCCTGAACTTCCAGCCCAGCAGAAGTGAGGACTTCTTCAACATGGTAACCTTCCTTCCTCCCTCCCTACTCACCGGGAAGAGTGTGAATCTCCTTCTAGCACATCCCTGTGGGGAAGTGGGTGCTGGGTGGCTCGAGCCAGCTGTGAATGGTGTGTGAAAAGGGAAAGGGGAGCCCAGAGCTCAGGCCGGGCTGAAAAACCCTCACTGCGCTCCCCTGGCTGCACGCTGTGCAATAGCTGAACCAACTAGTCCACGACTGGCTCGAGTCCCCGCAGGCTCACTTTTCTAGCAGCCGCAAGCAGCGTGTGGGTGTTCACGTGCCTTCCTGGACTCTGCTTGCTGTAATTAACTCTTTATAACGAGGCCATAAGGTGTTGACGGTTGCACGCCTGCTCCTGGCAGAGCTGTGTGGCTCTCCTAGCCAAGCCAAGCCCTCGGTCCAGTAGCACTGAGGCTCCTCCCCGGCTCGCGGAGAGAGCCAGGCTGGCCTCCGAAGCGGAGGAGGGAGTCACCTTGACCTCCTTGGGGACAAACTTATGCTGACGATTTCCAGAGAGGAGCTGTGTTGTCGCTGAATAAGCAGGCGTTCGCCGAGCACCCGGCAGAGGGAGCGCAGCCGGCCCGGCCCCACCTGCAACGTGCAGCTGAGAGGGAAGAGGACCCAGATATGGGTGTTTCTGATCAGCAGCCCCCTGCGGCCAAGCCAGCCTGGGGAGCCCGGGGCCTCCCTGGGACAGCGAGAAGGGCAAGGTGTGGAAGTAGCATCCAGGGCTCTGGACTTACCCTGCCAGCATTTATCGTGGTCACCATGAAGGGGGATTTTTCTAGCAAGTGTAAAACTACTCATTTTTCAGGTGTTGCAAAAAAGTTCTCCAGGTTTAACAGGAGAAGCCCCTGCAGGGTGCAGAGCTCCAAGCTCTTCCTGTGGTTCCTGGACGGATGTCCTGACTCCCCTGGCACAGTCTTGGACCCCTCCAGCTCTGTTTATGGCAGGTTTTAGTTGCAGATCCTGAAGAGGTTATCGCCTCCAGCCCTCCCTTTTCTGAAGGCTGCCCTCGTGGCAGGGCTGGCTGCAGAGGCACGTTACCCCTGGCTGCTGCAGTTTGCTGCTGGGCTTTCTGATGAGCCCCTCGTAGCGATGCAGCATCCTGGGCCGGCAAACCACGGCTCGTGAGCTTCAAGGCCATGTTAGATCTAAAAATCTCCCCTCTGCAAATAACCCAGGGTAGAAGCACTGCTGTAGAGGAGACGGTGTGCGTCTCAGATGCACCATAAAGCCTCGGGGATCTGTTGAGCTGCCAGGCCTGCGTGTTGACCTCAGGATCGAGGCATCAGCAGCGCTGAGCTGGGCTGAGCTGTTTGGTTTCTCTCTTTGCCAGGTCCATGAGGAGCTCCAGGGCCAGCTGGACAGCCTGGAGCCTCACCTGCTGACCAACCTGGTGTGGTCGCTCTGTGTGCTGCAGCAGGCCAAGGCTCCCTACCTGCAGCGAGTGCTGACGCCCGACTTCTATGCTCGGATCCGAGGTGAAATGGGCGTCTTTGCCGGTGGGACAGAGCCCACACCTTGGGGCAGGGAGAAGGGATACTGAGCCCAGTCCCTCTAATTTTGAGTTAATGGGTTGTTAACTGTTAATGAGGAGGGAATCGATCTCACCGGGAGTGGCTGTAATGGGTCTCCCCGCAGCTCGGTGCAGGGTACTCAGGCAAGGGGAGTGCAGGGCAACAGCACCAGGAGAGTTGGGCTAGTGAGAGCCATGGCCCCCAGCTCTGGCAGCCCCCTTGGGCTGTGGATTTGTGCCCATGTGCGAGAACCAGGTGGTGACGGCAGACGGGATCCGCTCAAGCCATCCTCCTCCACGTTGTGTTGCTCGTGCCTTCGCTGCTCACTCCCTGTGCTCTCTTTTCCTGCCTTCCTCCTCGGGTCCTGCCCGCTGTCTGCTCTTCTGCCTGCCCAGCCCGAAGCCGAACGGTGCACGGCTGGAGCAGTGCCTGCGGGGTTGAACCCCAGCAAGGTGACGCCTTGCCCTCAACCTTGCCGTGGAAATCGCGTGCCTCAAGGCACAGCTTGCCACTCCGCTCCGGCCCTGCCCCTGTGCTTCCCCCGAGACCTTGAGAAGAGACGGGAGGGCTTGGTATTTTTTAACAAAACAGGAGGTGCAGCCCCATCAAATTCAGTCCCTACCTCCTTCGTGG